TGAATGGCCCCTCAGGTTGCTGTTGATTTCCCTGCTAACATCCAGCAGCAAAGGGATTTATTCTCCAAAGGTCATGACCTCAGAATATGCCCTTCTCTTGCTTCTATACACCTCTTCAGTGTAGCACATGCCAACTTAGCCAGTAAAGGTATAAAACACTTTATTCTGTGTAGGAAGATCTGATTACTTATTACTAATATTAGGAAAATGGAATCAGTGGTAAAATCTGCTCTCATAGAAGCTCAATCTCACTCTGCTGTTATAGCTAACATAGCTTATGGAGTTCACCTACTGTATGCCAGGCAGTTTACATACACTTACTAATTTAATTGCCAGGCTGGTCTTGTGAGGTATAGGTCCCTTTTTTGTAAGACTGAGAGAGTATCTTCTTCAGTTAATGAATGGAAGAGCCAAATTTGAACCCAGTTCTTTTTTGGTGGCAAAGCCACTACTATTTACAGAACCAATATTATAAAGTGACTCAAGGGTTCTGTCTATTTGGAACAGGGCATTTTAGGTTGAGTATTTGCTTCAGCATATTCCTTCACTTATACCCACTTTTATGCTCACATCTTGAAGTAACATATTATGGAAAACTCTGAATGAAAACTGAATTCTAGTCCTAGCTTCATTGCTTATTGTGTGTTGGGATTTTGGGTTCCCTTCCAGCAAGCAGGGATTTACCAGTTATCTGTCTACCTTGGTCTTCAAATCTGTGAGATATGGACACCATTAATCCTTTTTTTAAAAATAACCTTTTAGGCCCTGGTGCTGTGGCTATGTGATTAAGTGTCGACCTATGAACCAGGAAGTCACCAGTTCTATTCTCGGCCAGGGCACATGCCTAGGTTTTGGGCTCAATACCTAGTAGGAAACATGTAGGAGGTTGCCTCAATGATTCTCTCTCATCATTGATGTGTTTATATCTCTCTCTACCTCTCTAAAATTAATAAAAATATATTTTAAAAAATAATGAACTTTTTGTGTGAGAATAGTGTCAGATTTACAAAAAATTGCAAGGATAGTATAAAATTCCTATATCAGTCTGCTAGGACTGCTGTAACAAAGAACCACAAACTAGGTGGCTTAGGCAATAGCAATTTATTGATCCACTGATCTGGAGGATAGAAATTTTTAAAAAATCAAGGCATTGGCAGAACTGGTTCCTTCTGAGACCTGTGAGTTCCAGCTTTCTCTTTTGCCTTACAGTCATCTTTTCCCTACGTCTCTTCACATCGTCTTCCCTCCACATATCTCTATGTCCAGATTTCCCTTTTTATAGGGGTACCAGTCCTATCTGTGAAGAGACTCTATCTCCAAGTGATAGCACACTCTAAGGTACTTACTTGGGTTAGGAACTTGGCGTACAAATTTTGGGAGTGGGCCACACAATTTAAACATAATCTATATTCCTTAGCCTGATTTCCCCTATTAACATGTTACATGCTATGGCACACAATGATCCAATATTAATACATAATTAACTAAATTACCTTATTTCTAACATACATAAGAAAATTTCAGTTCGAAGAGGGGATGTGACTTAGAAAATTCTCACTACTTTCTGACTTTACTCTCTGTAAAGCAAAAGAAAACTTCCAAAGTCACATGAACCTGAAGAGATAATAAGATAATTTTCTACCTATAATTACATTTACAGTTTCAGCATCTTATACTTACCATTGTTTCCACATAAACATTCTTTTTTATTTTTTTAAATATATTTTATTGATTTTGTACAGAGAGGAAGGGAGAGAGAGAGTTAGAAACATCAATGAGAGTCATCAGCCAGCTGCCTCTTGCACACCCCCTATTGAGGATGTACCCGCAACCAAGGTACATGCCCTTGACCGGAATCGAACCCGGGACCTTTCAGTCCCCAAGCCGACGCTCTATCCATTGAGCCAAACCGGTTTCGGCTCTACATAAACATTTTCTACAGCCTCTAGCATGGGGCTCCTTTCTCAGCCTTCAGAACTCAGCTCAACAACTACTTGAAAGGTCTTCCTTTAATACAATATATTATCTAGTGAAACCTCACTGCTGCCTCACTCCCAAGTTATCTTGTGGGCCTATTTCTTTCCTAGCATCTAGGAAAATCTGAAAGTACCTTCCCTGCCTTCCCAAACTAGAAAGCAAGCTCCTAAGAACAGGGGTACTGTCTCGCTCACAGAGAACAAGCATAGTAACAAGTGCTCAAGTATCTACTAATTGAATCAAAAAACAAAAGCAGCCTTGAAAGACAAAGATAAGAACCTTAAGTGGTTAAAACCCAGTATTATGTTAACTTATTTCCTATGTAATGGTCCTCCTAATCTTTGTTTTTAAACTAGAGGCCCAATGTAAGAAATTTGTGTACGGGGTGAGGGGAGATGTCCCTCAGCCCAGCCTGCACGCTCTCCAATCTGGGACAACCCTCTCACAATGCACTGCTCGCCTGCCTGCCTTCCTGAGTGCCCCTAACCACTTCTGCCTGCCAGCCTGCTCACCCCCTAACCACTCCCATGCCAGCCTGATTGATGTCTAACTGCTCCCTTGCCAGCCTGTGTGCAACCCTAACTGCCCTCCCCTGCAGGGTTGATCGCCTCTAACTGCCCTCCCTTGCAGACCTGGTCTCTCCCAACTGCCCTCCCCTACTGGCCATCTTGTGTCCAAATAGGGGCAGGATCTTTGACCACAGATTCTCTCTCATCATTGATGTTTCTATCTCTCTCCCTTTCTCTCTGAAATCAATAAAAATATATTTTAAAAAATAATAAAAATAAATTAATAAAAGTGGCCGCCAGGTGGCTCCTGACAACTGGAGCAATGTCAGCAGGATGGATCCAGATCCCGGGCCAGCAAGGGCATCCTGGCAGCCCCCAACATCCCTTTCAGGACCCCACCCATGCATAAATTCATGCACCAAGCCTCTAGTTATTAATAACGAACTACAGCATTTGTTAATGACTGATTACTATAGTCATGTTGCGTTCATTTCCCTTGAGCACAGTCACACCATGTCTCTCCACTAATATGACCAGTGAATATTCTAGCAGCCAATTTCCACGTCATTAGTCTTGGACTGACTTGTTTGGTGTGGGCAACAGAAAATTTTTTGCTTTCAGAGAACAAGAAAAATAAGTTTATTTGTGTTATGCATATTAATTTGTGTGGTTATTCAGTGTCCAGTAAGTAACTGTTCAAGAAAAAATATTACCAATTGGTTTGGTTTGGCTCAGTGGATAGAGCATGAGCCTGCGAACTGAAGGGTCCCTGGTTCAATTTCGGTCAAGGGCATGTACCTTGGTTTTCTGCACATCTCCAGTAGGGGGTGTGCAGGAGGCGGCTGATCAATGTTTCTCTGACATTGATGTTTCTAACTCTCTATCCCTCTCCCTTCCTCTCTGTAAAAAACATCAAAAAATATATTTTTTAAAAATATTAGTTTTTATTAAAATGTTCTATTATTTTGTTAATAATTACTCTTTTATTTCAGCCCTTTGTATTCAGCATCTCTCTACTGAAATAAACCTACATTTCTTTTTTTTTTTTAATATATTTTATTGATTTTTTATAGAGAGGAGGAGCGAGCTTGAAGCGTCGATGAGAGAAACATCGACCAGCTCACTCTTGCACACCCCCCACCGGGGATGTGCCTACAACCAATGTACATGCCCTTGACCGGAATTGAACCCGGGACCCTTCAGTCCGCAGACCGACCCTCTATCCACTGAGCCAAACAGGTTTTGGCAAAGGTTTATAGTTTTGAGCAAGCATGTCAAACTCAGAGGCAAACCCAGGCCAAATAAAAAAGATTTAAGTTTATGTGGGCTGCAAAACAAAAGCTTCAATTTTCATAGAAATGTAGGTTTAGCCGAAACCGGTTTGGCTCAGTGGTAGAGCGTCGGTCTGAGGACTAAAGGGTCCCGGGTTCAATTCCGGTCAAGGGCATGTACATTGGTTGCGGGCACATCTCCAGTAGGGGGTGTGCAAGAGGCAGCTGATTGATGATTCTCTCTCATTGATGTTTCTAACTCTCTATCCCTCTCCCTTCCTCTCTGTAAAAAAAATCAATAAAATATATATATTTTTTAAAACTATAAACCTTCTTTTGCCTTCCTTTATATATGAATTTATTTATATCCACCACATAGTTATCTAAGACAGGGGAAAATGATAGAGAAGCTTAAATATCTACCAAAAAGAACTAATTAAAATTATATAGCACATCAATGATGAAATGCCACTTGGCCCTGGCCAGGTTGCTTGTGCAGCTGGAGCATCATCCTATACACAAAAAGGTTGCAGGTTCAATTCCAGGACAGTGCAATCCCAATCTTGATTAAACACACACATATCCAAGTACCATATGCATGAAAAGAGGATACACCAAAACATTAACCATAATTACATACATCAAGTTTATAGATGACCTTTCTTCAATATTTCCAAATTAATAAATGTATAAAGAACTGAAAAGTTAAAATTAAAAAGTAACTGCATGGACTGGGAGAGGCCAATGGGAGGGGTGGAGGGAGACATATGTATTCCTTTCAAAAATAAAGAATTAAAAAAAAAAAAAAGTAACTACTGTCCAGTCAGGGCACATACTGGGGTTGCAGGCTAGATCCCCATTATGGGGCATGCAGGAGGAAGCCAGTGGATGATTCTCTCTCAACACTGATATTTTTTTTTCTCTCTCTCTCCTTTCCTCTCTGAAATCAATAAAATATATATGTATATTAAAAAAAAAAAAAAAAAAGTATTGGTAAGCTGTTGGTTGAGCGTCTTCCCATGCACTGAAAGGTCAAGATCAGGACACATGCTGATTCTACAATTTAGAAAGGAATCAAAGAAGAGAGCTGGCTACTTTACCACCTTATTTCAGTTGGTTAAACTGGCAAACACTGCTTAATAAAGTCCTATTAAGGACTCTTATGAATATACAACTCTTAAATGATATGACTGGCTTTAGAAGTCAGTCAAGTTACTAGTTTCTTTTACCACCATGCATTTACCTTATATGAACAATAATTCGACTTGCAATGGAATCCCAGACAGACACTTCCTCAAACAAACACGGCAATGCTGCTGGCTTCTCCAATGTACAAAGTCAAGATATGACTCTGGAAGGAGAGGAAATAAGCAGTGATAAAATAGCTACATAATCCTTGCAGATTGCATCTTAAAATTCAAACACTTGAAATCTATAAGCAAAAATTCTATTGTAGCCCTGAATTTCATTCCAAGTGAACAATGGCTTTATTCTAAGTACTATACTGACTGGCCTGAGAGTCTCTGTCTGCCTGTCTCCCTCTCATACAGGTTTTAACCCATTCAACATCTTCCACTAAGGATACAGTACAGAAAGCCAAAGCCTTCTTCCTATAACTTGATATTTTCATTGGCAACATTTCAGGTGTTACAGTTTGCATTATGCAAGACTAATTAATTCACACACTCCATAATTCAACCTGGAAAATTACTTCAGAATAATTAGATATTTGAAACAAAAATACTTAACTGAGGTATGCTAAATTTAATACATTTCAAATTAAAATAACTCCCTATCCTCATCCCTCAAACACAAAAAAAGACCTTTCTGATCCAGTTGTTTAAGTATTCCCAGAGCTAAACATTACAAACATGGACATACGTCAAAACTATGTCTAAACTATGTTATCTAAAACAAGAAATCCAAGATCAACAAGCTCATGTATGTAGTTAATGTCCTCACTCCTAGCTTATTAACGCTTTATCATTCATTCACGTTACTATAAAGTAGGAAGGCATCGCAATTTAAAACATCTAAAGATGCAGGCTTGACATTAGTTTTTTCACTTAGTATTCACTCAAAGATACCCAACTTAGCTTTTTCTGAAACCTGTAGCTTACATATAGCTGAACCCTTGCCTATTTAGCCAGGAAGAATGTGATGTGTTTTCTTAAAGAATGGTCTCTTGGTACATGTGGAACCCTCAGCTTAGAAAGCCTCTTCCAAACCCATTCATATGATGGTCTCCTCCCCCAGCCAGCTGTCCCTTGCTTACCCAGGCTGGGTTAGGTACTGCTCTGTGTTATCCTAGACATGTCTCTCCTTACACTCATCTCATTCTATCTGTTAATATGCCTATTTTCCTAGAAGTGATACACCTGCTGATAACCCAAGCAATAAACTCTTGACCTATACCAAAGGTAACCAGGTCATTTACATTACAAAGAGGCAACAAAAAACTATCTTAAAACAGGATAAAACTGTTCTATATAGATGAAATTACTACTCAGTCAGCCTGTTACCAAATTAGTGATAATGTTGATGTATATTTTACTTAATTGGTAAACAGTAAAAACACAGTACTTTCAAAAACGTATTCAAAATACTTTAGCATATATATTTTTTTCTTTTGCATATATTCTTGCAGCTTATTCGTAGAATTCATCCTAGGTTACAGTATCCAAAATCTCTTTCCTAATTTCTAACTGCAGAGGCACAGGGACTCACATCAGTTTGAGGGAAATCCTGATGACAGTTGTAGGACTGAGAACTGCTTATTCTACAACTCACTGAATTAAGAAACTATTCCAATTCACCCATCCTTAAAATTCTAACCACACACACATATTCCATTTTAGTATCCCATCATGTTTCTTTCTTATTAACCTCTTCCTGCATATTGACAAGAACCTTATCATCCCAAGTCTTCAATTTCCCATTGTCCCAGTGGATAGAGATATTAATGAGGCTCTGGCCCTTCTGAAAAGGAGACACCTGAAGCCCTGAGTCATCCCTGCCACCACAGTACTGATGCACCACCACCCCAGCTTGTCCTGCCTGTGTCATTTGGACGGTCATAAGTATGCTTCTCTGCCTCTATCTGCTGTTAACAGGGGAAATGCACACGTGGTATACATATACTATTTCCGGATTATCTGAAACTGTTCCAAAATTAGGCATTTGTTTAAAAAGAAAAAAAGACAAATGATTTTGAGTGATGTTCTCTGACTCTTCTTGATGATTAGAAAGATATTTTTAATACTGCTCAGTTGTTTATTGGAGACCTGAGTTTTAGGTGACAAGAATTAGCCTCTATGAAGAATCTGTGTGGAACAACAGGCAAGAATTTTTCCAAAGTTGAGAGCCCTAGCCAGATTTGCTCAGTGGAAGAGCATCAGCCTGAAAAGTCCCGGGTTTGATTCATGTCAATGGCATATGCCCGGGTTGTGGGATCGATCGCCAGTAAGGGCTGTGCAGGAGGCACATTCTCACCACTGATCTCTCTCTCTCTCTCTTCATTCCTCTTTGAAATCAGTAATATACATAAACTATTAAAAAAAAATTTTTTTTAAATAAATTGAGAGAATACTAATGCAATACAACTTGAATTGAAATCTGCTAAAATGTGTCAGAAATGATGATGGTAAAAATGTGTGGAGAGGGCTTAGACAAATTTACAAAGCTTGTTAAAATGCCCAGTATTTAAAGCATATGGTTATTCTGTACTATTTCTGTTAGCAGGTACTCTGCAAAAAAATTTTTAAGCTATCCTATATTGAGCCAGTTTTGTCAAAAGTGACTCATTCTCTCACAATTCAATTTTGTAGACTTTACCATCATCAATCAATAATAAGTAAGTCCTAAGCTGCTCTACCAAAGAGCAGTTCGATTGGTTCAACAGCAGTAAAATTTTGATTCTTTTTTAGCTCTGGGCTAAATCTGAAATTTTTCTGAACAAAAAAAGGCCCTTAAACACTATTATTGAATATTGAATGACTATGGAAATTAGCTTAAGCTGCAGATTTGATGTCTGTAAATTCATTCAATTGAAAATTACGAAGCAAGCCCTAGCTGGTTTAGCTCAGTGGATAGAGCATGTCGGCCTGAGGACTGAGAGTTCCAGGTTCAATTCCAGACAAGGGTACATGCCCATGTTGCAGGTTCAATCCCCAGTGTAAAACATGCAGGAGGCAGCCAATCAATGATTCTTTATCATTGATGTTTTTATCTCTCTCCCTCTCCCTTCCCTCTCTGAAATCAATTTTTTTTAAAACATATTTTAAAAAAAGAAAATTAGCTGAAACCGGTTTGGCTCAATGGATAGAGCGTCGGCTTGGGGACTGAAAAGTCCCGGGTTTGATTCCGGTCAAGGGCATGTACCTTGGTTGCGGGCATATCCCTAGTAGGGGGTGTGCAAGAGGCAGCTGATCGATGACTCTCTCTCATCAATGTTTCTCTCCATCTCTCTCCCTTCCTCTCCGTACAAAATCAATATATTTAATAAAAAAAAAAAAAGAAAATTACAAGGCAAAATAGCACTTCTTTGGAAAATACATATTGCAGCAAATAAATTTAACACTGTTTAAACACCCTTTTTAAATCACAAGTAATATCAAGTTACTTTATTTACTCCTGTGCTATCAAATGTTAAAACAAGCAATGAGATCTCCATTACCACACAAATTTGAAGCAAACATATTTTTAGTTCAAACTACAGTTCCAGAATATTTCCAACTTCAATGCAAATATAAAGGAAATCTTTGTATTTCAAAATCCATCTATAACAACTTGCAACTTTAATCTTCGATTGGAAATGGCCAGCTTGCAGTATGACATGCTAAATGGGAAATATCAAGAAAAGAATCTAACAATTCTATAGATGAATATACTATACTAAAATCATACTCAAAAAATCATATGCTCATGAATTAATAATTTTTGGCAGTGCCTCTCTTTGTAAGAAGACATTTTCATAGATGTGTAAACTGTTGGTATAGACTTCAGCATTCACATGAGTACAGTCAAACTTCTCCCATCTTGACCAAGTTGTTCACGGAAAGAATGTTTCCGTTGTGAAACAAAACTTCAGTTCTCGACCCAACAACACTTTCATGCTGTTACAGTGAAATCTTGGTTCTCAAACTTAATTCACTTTGGAAGGCTATTCAAGAAGCAATTGTTCAAAAACTGAGTCATTTTTTCCCCATTAGAAATAATGTAAAATGAAAGAATCCATTGCAGACTCCCAAATGACTCCTTTCTCAATTGCCTAAAATCCTTGTTTCCTGAGTATTTTCACACCCTTATAGCAACTTCAGCACTCTTGACAGCCTCTTCAATAAAGTTTTTAAATCGTGCTAATCGTCACCCTAGCTGGTGGCTTGGCACAGTGGATACATCAGCCCATGGACTGAAGGGTTCCCAGGCCCAGAGCAGGCCCTTGTGGAAGGAAAGCAATCAATGTGTCTCTCTCAGAACGATGTTTCTCTCTATATATCCCTTCCACTCTCTCTAATACTCAATTTAAAAATATCCTCAGGCTCTAACCAGTTTGGCTCAGTGGCCTGAGGGCTGGGGAGTCCCAGGTTCCATTCTGGAATGTGCCTTGGTTGCGGGCACATTCCCCGTGGGGGGTGTGCAAGAGGCAGCTGATCAGTGTTTCTCTCTCATCGGATGTTTCTAACTCTTTATCCCTCTCCCTTTCTCTCTGTAAAAAATCAATAAAAAATATATTTAAAAAGAAAAAGATGGAAAAGATTTGAGAACCCAGGTTTGAACTACTTAATTAAATCTCACTATCTCGCTGAAACCGGTTTGGCTCAGTGGTAGAGCATCGGTCTGCGGATTGAAAGGTCCGGGGTTTGATTCCGGTTAGGGGCATGTACATTGGTTTCGGGCACATCCCCGGTGGGGGGTGTGCAGGAGGCAGCTGGTTGATCTTTCTCTCTCACTGATGTTTCTAACTCTGTCCCTCTCTCTTCCTCTCTGTAAAAAAAATCAATAAAATATATTTTTAAAAATAAATAAATATATAAATCTCACTATCTCTGTTTCCTCTTATGTAAAACTGGTTCCTACTACACAGGATTGCTATGAAAATTGAATAAATTAATATGTATGTAATGTTCTTGAAACCGAGCTTAGCACATTATTTCATAAAAATTGCAGGCGTCTTCAAACTGCGGCCCGCGGGCCACATGCGGCCCGCAGAGGAGTCTGATCCGGCCCGCCAGGTTTTTTGGGCAGTGAGCGCAGCCGAGGTGTTACAGTAGGAATTAGTAGTTCATATAGTCCGGTCCCTCTCTGAGGGACCGTGATCTGGCCCCCACTTTAAAAAGTTTGAGGACCCCTGCATTATAGTATCAATCAGGCAATGTCAAAATGAGCTAAAAGACAAAGACTTCACCCAGCTGGCATGGCTCAGTGCTTGAGCATAGACCTATGAACCAGGTCACAGATCGATTCCCAGTCAAGGCACATGCCCTGGGTGCAGGCTCCATCCCCAGTGGAGGACTTACAGTTGGAAGCAGTGATTCTCTCTCATCGTTTATGTTTCTCTCTCTCCCTTTCCCTTCCACTATGAAATCAATTAAAAGGACAAAGACTTTAACCAGCTGGTAGGGGTAGTCAGTCGTATGGTCACTTAAACAATTACCTTTTTTCTCTTTGACAATTCAGAATTTGGTTTTCTGACAGAATCAGAATATATGATGCTTACTACATCTTCAAAACCTCTTAAGCAATGTACTCTGGTAATAAACACAAGTCTATATTTGGCTGCAGGCTGCATGAGTCTGCCTCCTAAAAGATACCATTATTCTGTGCCACAGGTTCTCAGTTTACATGAGAAGGATCAACATGCCATCTGTGCATATGACACAGTTTCTACTTAGACTGATGATTTTTAAAAATATATTTTATTGATTTTTTACAGAGAGGAAGGGAGATAGAGCTAGAAACATTGATGAAAAACATCGACCAGTTGCCTCTTGCACACCCCCTACCGGAGATGTGCCCGCAACCAAGGTACATGCCCTTGACCGGAATCGAACCCGAGACCTTTCAGTCCACAGACTGACGCTCTACCACCGAGCCAAACCTCGGCTAGACTGATTTTTTTAAATCATGCTCTCACACAATGCAGACACTCAGTACCAAATAACAACTCATTTGAGTCCTAGTCATCCACCAGAGGATAAGACTATCTTATCTAAAACCCTAACAGCTATCTTCCCAGAATTTATCATCTTTTTAATCACATTACAAAACTTTTATAAGCTACCACCATTTGCCTACAACTTAAGCCTCTACTTCCTAGAAAACTATTGGTCCTGCAATATTACTATGCTAATATTGGTAGTAATTATCACATCAAATTCCTTTTTGTATTCCCAGCGACTAGATACATGTTCGTTGAATGACAAATGAATTATGGTTTCTTTTTTACTATCATCAAGTATACCTAACACAAAATTTACCAGTTTAAACATATTTTTAACCCTCACTCGAAGACATGCTTAAGAGGGGAAGGGAGAAAGAGAAACATCAATTGGATGCCTCCCATGTGCCCCAACTGGGGACTGAACCTGAAACTTAGGTATATGCCCTGACCAGGAAACCTTCTGGCGCCTGGGACCATGCTTCAACCAACTGAGCCACACCGGCTAGGGCCATTTTAGCCATTTTTAAGTGCATAGTTTAGTTTAGTGGCATGAAGTACATTCACATTTACACAACCATTACCATCATCTAACTCCAGAATACTTTCATATTCCCAAACAGAAACTACATACCCACTAAACAGTAATCACCCACAACCACCATTCTACTGTTAATGTCTTATGAAATCAGTGATAAACATTCCCAAATAATCCATTATTTGGCTAAAATGTGCTCTACTGCAAGCTACAGGGAATGCTAAATAAGACTAAATCCGTCCTGGCCCAGTGGCTCAGTTGGTTGGAGTATCCTCTTGTACACCAAAATAAGGGTGGGTTCCTTCTGGGTCAAAGCACATACCCATGTTTATGGTTCCATCCTCCTGTTGGGGTGCGTGTGGGAGGCAACTGATAGATGTTTCTCTCTTCCTTCCTCTCTAAAATGCATTTTTTAAAAGAAATCTGTGAATACAATGTTGTTTTTTATTTATTTGAGAGAAGAATAGAGATAGAAACATCAATGAGATGAACATCAATTGGCTGCCTTCTGCACGCCTCCTACTGGGGATCCAGTTGCCACCTGGGCACATACCCTGACCAGGAATCAAACCAGATGCCTCTTGGTTTATGGGTTGATGGTCAAACACTGAGCAAGATGGCTGGAATAAAATAAAGTTTTAAAAATTGGGCTGTAGACCTATCTGGTTGGCTCAGTGGATAAAGTGTCAGCTTGCAAACCGAGGGATCCCAGGCTTGATTCCAGTCAAGGGCACATGTCTGGGTTGCAGGCTTGCTCCCCAATAGGGAATGGGCAGAAGGCAGCCAATGATTCTCATCATTGATGTTTCTCTTTCCCTCTCCCTTTCTCTCTGAAACCATAAAGATATATATATGGTGTGGTGTGTTTTTTTTAAATGTACTGTAGCCCCACCCGTGTAGCTCAGTGGTTGAGTGTCCATCTATGAACCAGGAGGTGATAGGTATGATTGCTCCTCAGGGCACATGCCCAGGTTTCAGGCTGGATACCCAGTGGGGGATGTGTAGGAGGCAGCCAATCAATGATTCCCTCTCAACACTGATGTTTGTTTCTCTCCCTCTCCTTCCAATCCTAAAATCAACAGAAATATATATTTTTTAAATTGGACTGTAGCCGAGACCGGTTTGACTCAGTGAAGAGAGCGTCAGCCTACGGACTAGCGCCAGCGCCCAGAAGTTGGAAGCCATCAGTGGGAGTACGGCGTTGACAGGGAGGTGGTTAACGGGATTGGAAGAAAAGCCTCTGAGTGTGGGGACCCTGGCGGGAGAGAGCTCGTGAAGGAAGCTTCTTGTGGCATTAACAGAAATAGCTTAGTTCAGCGTGCCTGCGTTCAAGCCTAAATAGCTGCCGAAAATGTTTGTGATATTGCTACAGTGAGTATACTAGGTCACGAAACACGTTTCCCAGTGAAGGACAAAGCCCAATTTTACTCCGCAAGTTGTTCAAAGCAGCAGCCGTTTTTTAATCCTTATAAGGCTGTCTAGAATCTAGATAACAGGACTGACTACTACAAACAGTATTTTTACTACAGACATATTTTTACAAACAATGAGAGGACCACCTGAAAGGGAAGGAAAATGATGGCGTGATACATGCCTTTCTACTCTGGTCCCACAATCTAGAAACCCTATAAATGATGGTGACAATAATAATAGTGTTTAATACATATTAGGTAATGAGCTAAGCGGTTTTCAATTTAATCTATTTAACCTTCATAATAATCCTATAAAGTGGCCACCATTACTCACAAGCTATTTTGCAGATAAGGAAACTGGGGCCCCCCTGACCTAAAATTAAAAGCTTAACAGGGCCAAATTTTGAACGCAGGCACGCTGAACTAATCTATTTCCGTTAATGCCGCCACAAGAAGCTTCCTTCACGGGCTCTCCCCCGCCAGGCTCCCCACTCTCTCAGAGGCTTTCCTTCCAATCCCGTTAACCGCCTCCCCGTCAACGCCGTACTCCCACTGATGGCTTCCAACTTCGGGGCGCCGGCGCTACTCGCCAGCTCCTGCCGCCATGCTCCTCCCCTAAGATTCACAAAGGCAAATACAACAGCTGATAAAAGTTGTTTAGATGCTAAAGCAGGCAAAAAAATTTTTTTTTTTTTTTTTTTTTTTTTTTTTGCCTCACGTAAGCAGAACACACGCAGATTATCGCTGGAATGCAAGTCAAGTCGGCCTCACCTCCAGTTGAAGAGATTGAACTAAACGTGGGCGTACAAATGTTCCGAGGCAGATACGTTTGGACCGTGCCTCCTCTGGCCACGCGGCAAAAAGGACGGAAGAGGCACTAACATTCAGAGCCAGCCACATGCGCCCTAGGGGGAGGCAGAACCAGGCCAATGGAGGCTATGGGGGGAGGGGGGAGAGAAGGGCACTCCAGAGTTCCGGGAAAAGAAACCCAAATAATCTGGTTCATGCCACTGGGGGGAGGGGGGTAAAGGGGGGAGCCCGCTCCCAGACGGCTTGTAACGAGGAGAAAGAAGGGTAGATAGAAGCTGCTTCGGAGGAAAGGCAGCCCTGAGCGTCGGGAACTAGGCCGGAGCGCAGGGGAGCCCAGTAGGCGGGGAGAGGGAGGAGCCGAAGGACGAGGGCCCGCTCGGAGGCCGGGGGTAGGCGCGGGGGAGCCGCTTCGCGCCAGGCGAGCCTGGGGACCCTGACCCAGACACCTCAGTGAAAATATAAAAGATTAAACGACTGGAACCGGTGAGACGGCCCTACACCCCACCCGGGACCCTCACTCACCTGGGCCCACCGCAGCGATCGCAGCCGCAGCCTCGCAACGGCACAACCGGCCCAAACCTCGCCCCCGCCCGACAGCGCGCCCGCGTCCCCGCTCTCGACGACGGCAGCGGCAGCGTCGCCTCGCTCCCTCCTGGGAAATGTAGTCGTAGACCCGCCTTGCCTCGCCCACTTGACGGTGCGCTGAACTACGTTTCCCACAAGGCAGATCAAGCGTTGGGCCCGCCGTTTGCGTCACGCGCCGGGTCGCCGTCGGTCACGTGGGTTGCCCCGTTTCATTCCCCTCCCCCCGCCTGGGTGGCCTGGGGAAGAAGGGCGGAGGTGGACGGAAGGGGCGGGGGTGTTGCTGACGCCTCAGCCCGCACCATTTTGGAACCAGCTTGGAGGGAGGGCCGGGCCCCACCCACCCGCGGCCTGCTTTCGCTGTTGAAAGTCACAGAGCTGAGAATCCGGTCTCCTAGCTTTCATTCCATACGGGCTCTTTATCGCTTTGTGACCTTGAGCAAATCGTATACCTTCCCACGAGCCTCGGTTCCCTCCCCAGGAAACGAGACTCGTCATTTCGGCCCCACGGACTGGCTGTGAGGCTCTCACAGTAAGGCACGTGAGAGCAGTCTAGTACCCTGAAAGCGCGATTCAAAATGGAGTTGTTTTTATTATGATGGTGACCTTCCGAGATCCAGGAGCTGAGATCTCCCGCCACCGCGCCTCCCCCACCCCCGCCTTCACTAACAATGAGAGCCCTAAAAGAGGTTTTCCGATAAAGTGGGGGTCCTGGGAAGCTTCTCAAAATGGGTGCCGGAAGTTTCCTGGGGAGTGTGGCCTTGGGATCTACATTATAAAGAGACTTCTCCGGAAATAACAGGGTTTTGCGCAGGCTGATTTGCGCTGGAATTCCTGGCCTAGTGAACTGGAACTGTTAAAGCCTGAGCTCCGATATCACCTCTGCTGTGAAGCCTTAGAAGTTTACGAGCTCCTTCCGGTCTCTATACTCCTGCAGCACCTTTGACCTGCTCTGGTCCTATATTATCCTATATTATCACCTGTGTTTGTCTTCCCCGCCAGAGATGAGCTCTTTGAGAGCAGAGATCAGTTGTGATAGATTTCTGCATCCCCAAGGCAGAGTAAACAAAGTAAATATGAATAAATATCGAAGGAACCTACTGTTCTTTTGCGAGGAAAGCTCACCAGTCTCAAGTCTCAGACCCTGCCACATCTTCCCTTGCCCTGCTGACCCCAGCAACTTTTCCTTCCACACTGCTTACTCTTCCTTCTTTGAGCACTTCCCGTGGACTGCTTTCTGTGGTGCTTCTTGAAAGGTTCTGATTGAATTTACTTTTAAATTCACGGATTTTCCTGAGTGTCTAGTATATGCCATTCCCAATACAAAATACTAGGAACAACAGAGGTAAACTGATGGATACAAAAATACATAGTCTTTCCACTTGGTTTCTAAAATACTCTGTGCTTCATGAAAACATGCTCTAAGTAACTAATTATCCGAGAGATGCAAATCAAAACAACAATGCGGTACCATCTCACACCTGTCAGAATGGCCAACATCAACAAATCAACAAACGACAAGTGCTGGCGAGTTTGCGGAGAAAAAGGAACCCTCGTGCACTGCTGGTGGGAATGCAGACTGGTGGAACCACTGTGGAGAACAGTATGGAGTTTCCTCAAAAAACTGAAAATAGAACTCTCATTTGACCCAGTAATCCCACTCCTAGGAATATATCCCAAGAAACTAGAAACACCAATCAGAAAGGATATATGCACCCCTATGTTCATAGCAGCACAATCTACAATAGCTAGAATTTGGAAACAGCCTAGGTGCCCATCAGCAGATGATTGGATCCAAAAACGATGGTACATCTACACAATGGAATACTATGCTGTCATAAAAAAGAAGGAATTCTCATCATTTGCAGCAACCTGGATGGAATTGGAGAACATCATGCTGAGTGAAATAAGCCATTCAATGAAAGAGAAACACCACATGACCTCACTCATTTATGGATAATAAAGAACATTATAAACTGATGAACCAAAAGATAGATATAGAGACAGTAAAGCAACAAGCAGACTGTCAAATTACAGCAGGTAGGGTAGGAAGATCTGGGGGAGGTAATAGATCAACCGAAGGACTTGTATACATGCATATAAGTACAACCAATGGACATAAAACTCTGGGGAGGGAGGGTACGTATGAGAGGGGGGGCAATGTTAAAATATGTACACAGATAATTTAATAATAAATAATAATAAATAAATAAAAGTTAAAAAAATAAAATACTCTGTGCTTGATCTTTTCTTACCTCTGTGGATGACAAGCTCAGGGAAAGCCAGGCAGGACCCCTGTAAGCACAACCACATCGGAGCAGGAGACCACAAATCCCCTTATTGTTACTGTTATCGTGTAATTGTTAACTATCCTGTACCCAGCAATGGAAAAGAAGTCTGTGTCTGTTAATTTTTCTTTTCATCCAATCCCAGAAGTCCCCTCCCTTTTGCTTTCTCCTGCCTCCCTAATCTATCATCAGTGGATTTCATGTAAACCCCTTAGGCCTCCTCTTTTTACTGTAATGTATAAAATAAGATGTATAACTATCATTCTCCAGAGCATTTTCTCAAACCCTTGAGATTTTGCTTCCCAGCAATTGTCATCAGTTTGGCTCAAATAAAATTTAAAAAATCTTACAGGTTTGGATGTTGACATCTCCCACCTCTGCCTCTTCCCTGGCCCAGAAACTTACCCAAAGTTCCAGCTTCCTCCCTCTCCTCTCCTCATTCAGCCTTCCTCCCTGAGTTACATAGCATTCTCGGATGGGTAGCTTTTACATCTGTCCTATGCTTTTTACTCCCTCTCTATATCTCAGCTTCCACTCAGTTCCAGGTGTTTGGGAACCATGAGTTCCCACTGGTATCTCAAAACTAAACCTGCCCAAAACTCTTCTTCCTCCAATACAGCATTACCTAGTTCATTGTAGAGTTGTTTGCATGTCTGTCTTCACTAACCTTTGAGCTCCGTTCAAGGAAAAGAACTCCTTGTTCTCCATTCACTTATTGAGCACCTACTATGGGCAAGGCCCTATATTGGAAGCTTGGAGGAGAACATTAAACAAGACAAATGTGGTCCCTGCACCGAGCATACTTCCAACTGGAGAGGCAACATTAAGAAGTCTAGCATATGCATAACTAATTACGATTGTGCTAGGTGCAACACAGGAAACTATATTGTGTATTCACTATTATTACCATTGTAAGTAGTTATTAATAACAGTAAAGGAACAAAAATAAGCATGGCCATCTGAGCTGCTTCACCAGAAAGTTGCAATTTCATAATCCCCAGAGAAATCACTAGGTAAAGGGACTGGACAAAGGGGAGATGGATATGGATGCATGTGCAGTGAAGTTAGGATGTCATGGATTGGCTAGAGGGGGTGGAGCCAATGCAAACGCTCGAAAATTTGAGAATACATAATCTCCCAGACAAAGGAGCTCCTCAAGCTCTTTTCTCTCTTGTTCCTCTGGCTTTGCTCTTGTCCATGTTCCCTCCATAGCCTGATAGACTGGACTATGCTCCAACATGGAATGGAAACTCTGAGTAACACTTTAATCTTAGCCCTGCTAAAGGCGCAGCTGGCTTTCTTCCTTGGTGGGATGAAGGGAAATGGTACCTTGGAAACTCAGGGATACAATTTCACACAAATAAAAAACACTTGTTCGCCCTGGCTGGTTTGGCTCAGTGGGTAGAGCGTTGGCCTGCGGACTGAAGGGTCCCAGGTTTAAGTCCAGTCAAGGGCACATGTCCGGGTTGGAGGCTGGATCCCCAATGGGGGGCGTGCTAGAGGCAGTCTATCAATGATTCTTTCTCACCATTGATGTTTTTCTCTCTCTCTCTCTCTCCCTCCCTCCCTCCCCTTCCTTTCTGAAACCAATAAAAATATATATTTTTTTAAATCACTGGTTCTCCCATGCCAGTCTCAGAAAACCTTTTCGTGTGACATTACAAGAAGCCATTTCCACTAGCAACAGATAGGACAAGGAGCACCTGCCACCCATAACACTATGACAACTGACAGCATAGAGCAGGGATAGCAAACCAGCATATGGACAGATTCCAACCCACCTCCTATACCATAACCCAGTGTTTCCCAAAGTGTGGTACGCGTACCCCCAGGGGTACAGGAAGAGTTTGGTGGGGGTACGCATTGCACCGGAGTTTGGTGGGGATATGCACTGCACCGTGCTTAGCTGCGCCTAATTCTACGTTCTCATAAGTACGAGGGGTACTCAGCATTACGAAAATTATAGAAGGGGTACACATATGTCAAAAGTTTGGGAAACACTGCGGCATAGCCAAAAGCTAGGAATTGCCTTTACTATATATATATTTTAGAGGAGGGAAGAGGGAGAGATAGAAATATCAATGATGAGAGAGAATCATTGATCGGCTGCCTCTTGTAGGCCGCCCACTGGGGATCAAGCCCACAATCCGAGCAAGACTGGAACTGAATGCAGGCCAACGCTCTATCCATGGAGCCAAACCAGCTAGGCCGCTTTTATATTTTTAAACGACTGGGGGAAAGAGAGGAGATCAAAAAAAGACTAATATTTCATGACATGTGAAAAATACATATGAAATTCAAAGTTCAGCATTCATAAATTCATTTATTGTCTGTGGCTGCTATTATATGAACCAGTTGTGATATTCTATGACAGGCAAAGCCTAAAATATTTACTATCTAAGCGATGCAGAAAAAGTTTGCTGACTCTTGGCATAGAATCTGGAGGTTTTGACTTAGGTTAGAAGGTCCGAGGAGGTTTCCCTGAGAAAGTGGCCCATAAACTTGTAGTAATTCAGGCCAAGAATTGGGGAAGAGCATTCCAGGCAGAAGGAAAAACACATGGGAAAGCACTGAGGTCTGAAAAAACCTGGCACATCCTGAATAGTGTTAGGCCTGTCGTTGACTCTAGAATGTAACAGGAACTAAAGCTCATGAGCCTGGTGAGGAGCCAGATCCTTCTGGGTCTGATAGTCCAGGTCCAGGATATGGCTCTTACTCTGAGAGCAATGGGAAGCCATTGAAAAGTTTATAAGCAGGAGAGGGATTCAGATTTCCTTTTTTTTTTTTT